TGTTTTTTTTTGTTTTTGTTTTTTTTTTTTTGTTACAGAGAAAATTCGCAGATTACAATTCGGGGAGATAACTCCCGTTTGTTTACGATACTAATTGTCAGTAATTGATCGATGATTTAACCGCGGCGGGGACAGGTAAGTGACGAATTTCCCGCGGAGGGAACGCGGTTTACCTGTCTACCTGGCCAAATACCGCGTTGTGATTATACCGCGGCGGGGACGCGGGAAATACGGGATCCGCGTTGCCTGTACTGTATCTTTGAATTTCTTTAACACATGTTCTTTTCAATAATAAAACAGTTTAAGCTCACCTGATTAATAATCGATGATCGGTGGGAAAGGCTGTCGATTTTAGACAATCGATTGGAGATTTTAACAATCGATTAATCGGTATATTTCAGCACATTTTTTTTTTTTTTTTTTTTTTTTTTTACAGTTTTCTCACTTTTATTTCAAGAACAGGCTCTTGTTATCATTTAAAAATACATGTATACATCTTCCAAGAGTTGTCCTTTATTATTTTAAAATACATGTACTTAAAATCTGTTTAAAATAAATCAAAAGATAATGATATTTGTATTTCTAAACTGAAGAAACTAAACTACTTGTTTAGATAAAATATCAATATTAATTTTCAGTATTTGAGGGAATTCACTTGTCATTCCATACGGAATAAAAAGGAATTTGAAATATGAAATGTCTTATAACAATTAAAAAAAATAATTCCATATCCATTTTAGATAAAAATAAAACGATAACCAAATTAGAACATTTGAATCCCTCTGTACTGAATAAACAGATAGTTTTTTTTTTCCAGCTATGAATAGAATTGCAATCAAATATACAAAAAGAAAAGTCGACAGTCTTGATGTAATTCATAATTCATTATGAATGTCCTTTTTCTCTATTTGTGTTGATTACTAGATATATGAACAAGCGTTTGCTTGTCAAAGAGTTCTTATGAAATATTTGTTTTTATAAGGTTAGTAATATTATAGATATTTTTCTTCACATGTAGAATGTCTCCGTCTGAGTACATTTAAAGCAATGAATTGCGTAAATTTTAATTTCATAGGTAAGATTTTATTAAACTTAGAGTAATTAAAGTATGTTAATTCTTATTCGCCTCACAGAAATTCCATGTTCTTGAGAATAAATAAGATTAAAGAAACGGAAAATAATATTTCGAAGTGATTAACAATTGAAGAAAGTATTGAACGTCAAACATTAATAAAAAAAAAAAACTCTCTCACGCCCTTTCTCAGCTTTAAATTAGTTTGCCATTTAAAAAGGAACAAACATGCAGTGAAGATTTTTTTCTGGTGGCTACCCCACAATATATTTCTTATGGTCATCAGGAAGTTGTATAAAACTATCTGATCAATACAATTCAATATCCAATTATTGTTTTTTTTAATTTTTTAATATAATGCATGTTTTCTAGTAAAATTGTATGAACGGAAAATATTGCCCCCGACAATTTTGTCCCCGTGAATAAATTATGTGGAGATAAGGAACAGCTTTCGGGCTCAAAGGTTTATTCAACATTATACATTTATTGCATGATAGTGAGGGAAATATGAAGACTTATTCAGCCAAGAAAAAATCATATTCCCTGAGGGCTTCGCCCGAAGGGGAATATGATTTTTCTCGGCTGAATAAGTCTTCATGTTTCCCTCACTATCATGCAATGAATTGTTTATTATACCGAAACAAGCAAAACATTTGAAATAAAAATAAACTTTCAAATTCGTCACCGCTCTCAAATTCATTTTCATTTTTAACAAAACGTTACTAAAACTCTTTGGTCAACACATTATCATCAATTTTGTGACGTATGACGAAGACCATGTAATTGTGAGGTCTACTATACTCTCGGGAGTTAAGAAATAAATAACAAGTTTATAAACTTCAATGGGAAATATTTACATTTCCAATAAATTTCCCCTATGATTCTTTACAAAATAAAATGCAGTATATTTTCTCATGAACTACATTAGGTGTGTATCACGAATAAGCATGAATATCTCCATTGTTACGTCATAATACTGCTCTTGACGTCAAAAAGTACAAAAATATAGTGCGCACTGTTTTGTTTAAAAAATGACAGTTGGATAGCGTAAATTTATGGCAGGTCATCAGACAAACAATGTAAATATAAGAAATGAATTTAATTTTTTGAAGATTCATGAGGTATATGAACTACAACGCTTCACGCCGGCATATTTATCATGAAGCGCTAACGCGCTTCATGAAATATGCCGGTGTGAAGCGTCGTAGATCATAACCACATGAATCTTTTGGGAATTGAAGTGGGTCGGTCACATGATCAAATCATGTGAAGGCCGAAGGCCTTCTCAGAAGATTTGATCACGTACCGACCCACTTCAATTCCCATTGAAGTTTATAAACTTGATTTTTATAACTTATATATACATTTGAGACAGACAATTTAATATTTTCGAATTTAAATTATTGCACAAACCGTCCGTCGTGGATTTTGAAAATGACGCAAGGTGTAAATCGGCTTGCATGGCGGTTACGCTTCGAATGCATTAGGCTAAGGAATCTATTTCGAAGGGAATATTTTGTGAAAGGCTACTTGTGACCAGTAATAGTGAACAGATTGCTGTTTGGGAATATTTTTATTCGAGAAAAATGATAATCGATGCTGAAAAGACACAAGAAACACGTCCGAAGTTTGATGATAAAAAGTTGGAGGAATTTCGGTCGCCGGAAAGGGATGGATGGCCGGATACGAAGGATTGAGACAGTTGTCCGAGCCAGTTGATTTGCAATTTGATCAAAAACATTCTACGGTTTCAGTAACTAATTAATGCATACTTATCGTAAGATATGGATAAACACGGAGACACTGGCGACAGCTTTACATTGAACTACGAAAACGCCGAGGTGTTTGGCAGCTGTTCATGGCATGATTGCAATGATATTTTTCAACAGATTTACACATTTATCGTGAGTAAAATTTAAAGATAAAATATAAGTTAATCATGAAAATTTAACCAAAGGTCTACCCAAAAAATAAGGATGAACGTTAGAGACCGTGCAGCTGACAAGCGCCGTGTGATTAGGTCACGTATTGACCTTTGACCTCTGACAAACTTCATACAGAATTAGGGCTGGGCAATAATATCGATATTTCAATATATTGCAATACAATGACAAAATATATCGTATCGCAATACGATTTTGTAATATCGATATATTGGCAATATGATCAGATTAAGGAATTTTGACACAATAAAATATAGGGTCCCATGGCCCTATAGTTTACTTGCTCAGTGGTATAAGAGGAATTGCGGATAAGAGATGGGTACCCCAAAGCGTAACAGACGGACGGACGGACAGACGTACAGACAGACGGAATTAACGATTACTATATACCCTCCCGCTTTTCAAGCGGGGGTATAATAAAAACCCGGATGTTTGACAAAACTTACTATTTGACTATGTGTTATACAATCAATGGGATATAGCAAATAAATAATGACTTTCAGATGTCAACACTACGACTTTTTATCTCGAAATAACGACTTTTTTAAGTCGTAATAACGACTTTTTATCTCGTTATTACGACTTTTTATCTCGTTATTCGACTTTCTATCTCGTAATAACGACTTTATAAAGTCGTTATAACGACTTTTTATCTCGTTATTACGACTTTATTATTTATTCATTTGAAACATTTTTTATTTGATCCTTCTAGGAGAGAAACGGAAACGTGTCCGATATAACGGTGTCGTGTAGCTGAAAACGCGATTATAGTTTAGTTATAAAATTGTCAAAAACAGTTAGACCAGAATTTGACAATTTATTCATGACAACATTCTCTAATTATTGACAATATTTGTTTACACTCTTTTAATCTAATGCAATATGCCGCTAAATTGAAGACAATAGTGTTACGCATTGCAGAAATCATTTCAAAATATCATACATAAGCGCGTGTCGAAAGCAAACTGAAGGGGAGGGGGTTAAACCAAAAATGTTTGGAGGCTACTTAGTAGGTCCTAAGTATCAATGCCTATGTAGACTCATCTTCGCTAGCCAAGGGTGACGATCTGCTCCTCTCCTCTGGAAAGAGGAGAGGAGCGGATCGTCACCCTTGGCTAGCGAAGATGATGTAGTCTATATTATGTATTTCTTTGCAAAAAAGGGGTTTAAATTGTTGTTCAAATGTACTTTCTTAAGTCGTAATAAGTAATAATAACGCGATAAAAAGTCGTTATTACGACTTAATAAAGTCGTTATTACGAGATACAAAGTCGTTGTTACGACTTAAGAAAGTCGTAATAACGAGATAAAAATTCGTAATGACGAGATAAAATGTCGTTAATACGAATTAAGAAAGTCGTAATAACGAGATAAAAAGTCGTTATTACGACTTGAGAAAGTCGTAATAATGAGATAAAAAGTCGTTATTACGAGATAAAAAGTCGTTATTACGAATTAATTTTTTTCTTTATTTTCTAATTTGACCCTTGTAGGCTTAGTACAACACAAAGGGTAGCTTGTGATTCTCATTTACTTTTGTTAGATAACAGATGCTGAGTGAAACAGAAACATCAAAACTTAAATTTATGACCTTCACTCCCTATCCCAAACTTGCGACTACATGAGGTCTTGACAGATTTCATAATATATTACATTACTATATTATACAACAATTACTTCAAGAGAAATGCTTACTCAGTTGTTGAAAATAAAAAAGAACTGCCATAAAATGAGGTTTAATATTATTTCAACATAGTTGTGATTTTGTTCTTCATTAAAAAGTGAGGGGGCACAGACATAGTCTTGCCCTCCCCCCCCCCAGATATGAAAGTGGGGGGATAGTGCCCCCGCGGCCCCCCCCCCCCCTGTGACTACGCCTATGAAATATAAAAACATGAATTATCTTTCAAATTAGCATACATTGCAAAATAATACCATTAAAGTTGGCATATTTTGACTGGAATAATTATGACGGACTTCCCACTATGTGTCTTACAGACAGCACAGGGTACGTCGTGGTTGTGTACCACGGCGTCGCCGATCTCGTACTCAGCTCCGTAGATGTGTCCTCTAGAGGCTTCCATTCTTCTGTTGTGGCGGCCCCATTGAGGGTTTCTCGGTAAACAGAGAGGCCCAGCCGCGCCTCCTCTGTGTGTATAATGGGACCCTTCTACATAACCTGCAAAACAAGTGGTTCTCTTTTTAAAGTTATATCTGCTATATTAAAAATGGTGTGTTTTTTTTATTCCATGTGTTGTATATCTTAGTAGGGCTGGGACGATACAACTTTTTCTATATCGATACGTATCACGATATTTGAGCCATGATACGATATGTATCACGTTATGTTTAATTGCTTATAAAATCTTCAAGCAACTTAGCATTATTTATCATAATAAAAAGGGGGCCAATTTGATTGTTCACAACTGTGAAAATTATTTCTCTCTCATACGTTTTACTGTTCTTGAAAATTGTAGTTTTCATCTGTTTTAATTACTTTGAGTAATTGAAAGTTTTCAACGTCATACCAGTTAGGCAAATACATAATTATATGAATGCTTTGAGTACAGCATAGACATCGAGACTGGACGAAGGGCTAGGGGAGGGGATAGGGGGCTAAGCCCCCCACTTATTTTGGAAAGATATATACATCGTATAAACATTGAAAATGCAGCGTACCCTTTCTAGGTTTATTGCCCCCCCCCCGTTTGTTACCAACATCTATGTATATATTGGAAAGATTAAGATTTGGTCTGAGGGATCTTATACCCTTCTTCTCCTCTTTTCGACGGTAGTAAATCAATTCATTTTTTAGGTAAGGGTTAGGCTTAGTTTTTTGAAAGATAAATGAGAAATAAAATCTTTCCATGACTAAAATATGATTTTTTTTTCAAAGTGCGTAAAGTGTCTCCATGGTAAAATATATTGATGTAGACTCTTAACGCACTTTGAAAAAATTTTTCAAAGTGCGTTGAGTTGGTCCCAAATTTAACGCACTTTGAAAAAAATTTTCAAAGTGCGTTGATTTTGTCCCAAAAATTACGCACTTTGAAAAATTTTTTCAAAGTGCGTGATTTTGTCCCAAAATGCGTTGCCACACTGGTGGACGCATGACAGTAACTAGTATTTCACGACCGCCAAATCATTAACTGGTAGCCAACAATTATATCTATGTTGTGGCTGTCAGATAATTTTTTTTTCTAACGGGCACCTTTCGGCTTCCGTAAGAAGTAGAGTATGCATCAGATATTCTTGCCAACAGTCAATCCTATCTGAGTAGATCAGGGTTATTCTTACAAATAGAATTTTATTCAATCCTATCTGTTTGAACTATAAGAATAATTCTTACCAAAACATAATACTACAATCCTACCTAAAAAGTTCATATTCATGCTTTGCATCAGTAAACCCTACAACCCTATCTGGATAGATAAAAGTAGTCCTCTGGATAGATAAAAGTAGTCCTAACCCAACTGTAAATTTTACAATTCTTGCAGATCAGAGGAATTCTTACAACAGTTAATCCTTTAATCTTACAATCATTTCCTAGAAGATAAATTCAAGATTCTGTGGATTATATTTTTTTCCAAAAATATAATCTAGTAAATGTACCTGAGTAGATCAAAGTTGCTGTCGTTGGACAATTCTTGCGGCACCAGCGGGTGTACACTGATCCTCCCAGTGAGTAACATTCTATAGCTTGAAAAGTTAACAATACCAGGGTCAACACAGCAGACAAAATGGACATCGTCTAAAAGACAACAGGTCGGATTATCGAGGCTCAACTTCATTTAAACATAGCGGTCACGGTAGCCTAGTGGTAGAGCGTTCGCTTCGTGATCGAGAGGCCTGGGTTCGATTCTCGTTCGCGGCGCCGCGTCATACCTTAGACGTAAACACTGTGACTATTCCATGCGTCCGCATTAGAAGTGAAAGTCACGGGTCTTTCGGGTATGACCTAAAAAACGGAGGTCCCGTGTCCGTGTAGGTGCTGACACGATAAAGAACCCTCACTGCTCAATGGCCCTGATTGCCGAGTATATGTCTAAATTTGAAGCCCTTCACCGACCATACGTTGACGTCTCCACATGGGTGAAAAATTCTCGAGAGGGACGTTAAACAATTTACAATCAATCATCATTTAAACAGTAAAACATGCTTATAGCAAACACGCTTACAATGAATGGACGGATTATTTCCCTTTTAAATAAATTGTATATTGAACAATAAACATGTATAATTAATTATGCTTACAACGAAGCAAAATTGAAAGTCCTTGGGACCTCGCTATAACAGTTATTTACTTATAAACTCATATATTTTCATGAAAGATTTAAAACTTTTAATTAAAAGAATAAACTTTTCTAAGTATTAAAAAAACAACATTTATTTTTACCCACCATTAATTGAACTCAATAACCTCGTTAGGTATGTTGACCCATTTTGCGCGGGCTTTTATAGAAAAGGGGAGACCTTCTGTTACCCTCCTGAATAATTACTGTATGCTGCATATTGACAGGTGCAGCAAAATTATGTTTCAAGTTTGAAATTTCAATATTTCTTATTTTGAACGATTTATCAAAATGTTCATTTATATAACGATTTTTCCAAGAATTCAGTTTTTGTTTTGGGAATAGTATATATTTTTCATTATAAATGTCTATTTTGAAAGAATGTTTAAAAGTGTGATTTCATACACAAAATTATTTTATATGAAGTATATTTTATAAATTTGTTTAAAATCTACAGATCTTAACTTTCAATTTGGAAGTGCATATTTATTTTCATTTGGTTACATGAGAATTAGCTTCTCAGAAAAATCGTTACATAATAGTTCACGTTGATTAATGAATCAAAAACAAAAATATTGAAATTTCAATCTCCAAGCTTGTTTCTTTCTTCCCCTGCCAATATGTCATGTTTAGTTGCAATGAATCAAGGGTGCAACAGAAGGTCCGAGGTACTTCTTAATAAAAGACCCTTCAAGCCAACTGATCTTAGAGATCTCGAAGTGAAGCGAGTTAACGGTAAGTAGAAAGTAATTCATCTTGAGAGAGAAGACCTTTTTCTTCAAATTGAAAATTATATTGTTAAATTAACTTTCTCAGATATTTTCTACTCTTACTTGTTTTCATTCGTAACTAGTTTTACGCATATAAAATGTTTATATAATTAAAATTATTTTTGAGGCGTCTATGTTCCTTTTTTTCTTTTTAGACTTCATCTCAATTTTAAGATGATGTCAGCTTTCTCTGTTGTGTTGATCATGGCAGTGGTGACTTTTCAAGCTGGACAGTGTATTTCGCCTGGAGGATCTGTGTATACTCGCTGGGGCCACAAGAATTGTCCAAAGACAGCTATTTTGGTCTATTCAGGTATAAGCAACTGTTGACAATAATTTATCAAAGACATCAGTCTTGATTTCTACTCGGTAGAGCATTTTGTATTATAACTGATATCAAGAAGTGCCCAAGGTAGTCTGTTTTATTCATTCATGTAGGTAGTAGATTGGTTGAGCGAGCCCTTGTAAACCGTTCAAAAGTACCTCTAACACATTCCTCGTACATTTATAGTTCAATTATGTGACTAGTTTGAATACATTGTAGGTTATGTGGGAGGATCTCATTATGGGCACCGAGGAGGGGCAGTTGAACCGCTCTGTTTACCGAAAGACCCTGAGTGGGGTCGCAATAACGGGAGAATGGACAACTCAAGAGGATTTGTCTATGGAGCGGAATACGAGGTGAATAGGAATATCATAAATGCTCATATCCACAACCAAGACGTGCCCTGTGCTGTGTGTATGACTGAAAATGAGAAGTCCGTCATAGTTATTCCAGGTAAAGATGAGAAATAATATGTCATGGTTAGATAGAAACATGAAACTGTTGTAAGCGCCTATAGCAGGATTTCGATTTTTGCAGTATTCAGATTTAAATGATGCTTAGAATATCTAAAAAAAAAAAACAACATTTATTGTAATTAGACTTTGAAATACTGTAGATCACCTTATTTTCGCGATTTCGCTATTTTTTTTATTAACGAGACAAAATATTTTTGCGAGCTGTGATTTCTTTTGTATATAAACATTAATAATACAATTATATGCGAGAATAAAATTTTCGCGAGCAGACAGACTCGGTAATTAGCCGAAAATAAAGTTCACGCGAATAAAAAGTGATTTTCAGTAGCAATTTTTATATATGAATAGGCAATCAGATAATTTCCCAGAGATGACATTGCAATTGGTCCTTTTAGATTTCCTTTAACAATCTAGTTTTCAGAGAACAAAATTTTCGAAACAAATGTAAGATCCAGCGTGCATGTTTGGAGTAGATGTAGTCATAAACTGCATACTTACAAAATCGTATCATTAAATTTCCTTCCAAGAGACGTTGTCCTGCATTCATTCATTGATTATTTTACAAATCTGTCTACTCTCATTAATTTTTTTTTATATTATGAAACTTATTTAATTTATTTGGTAAACCTGGATTACTTTTGAAAAAAAATTAAATTATGTACCTTTTTTCTATATTTGGTTAAATTTTTTGTTAATTCAAAGCGAGGAAATCCTGTTATGATGGATGGAGAAGAGAGTACTGGGGGTACCTGATGACTGGATATTACAATCACGCCGCGGCCTCTTCCTACACCTGTGTGGACGCTCACCCCCAGGCTCTTCATGGTGGAAACGGTAATTATGACGGTTATCTGTGAATCCGGGTCATTTCTCCCCAGTACCTGCTCCGCCTAGGTCATTTCCGCCCAGGTTATCTCTCTCCTGGGTCATTTCCCTCCTTTACCCAGGTCATTTCTCTCCACAACCCAGGTCATTTCACTCCAACACAAAAATTATAGTGTAATAAGTTGAATTTTATTAAGTTTTGTTAATTACCATGCTGAATTTAACGCTAACTTTATTTTATTTCATCTGATTTATTTATTTATTAATTCACACATGTATTTTTTAATTATTTATGACACCACACATTTATTGTTTATACTAGTATTATTCATAATCTGAACAGTTATGCATTCACTCATTTATTTGAATAATTATTTTTTTTTTAAGAATTTTTTTTATACACTGTAATTTAATTCATTCCTTTATTTATTAATTTTTTGTATTAATTAATCAATTTATATAATCTTGAATTGGCTTTTCAAAAGATCAGAGGCACATGATTATTTATTTTTATTCATTAATTCTAAGACTTGCTGTCTTTCTTTCTATAATGGAATTAGCTGCAGAACTGTAGCTCTCTGAAAAATATGTATTGACAGTGCGGTCTGTCAAAAAAAAAAAAAAAAAAAAAATCGGAGAGCTACAGTTCTGCAGCAATAATGGAATATAGAATAACTTTAAATGCGATAATAGAAATATTTTATTTTAATCTTCTTTCTTTAATTAAATTCATTATCGATTAGACTTCAAGTGAATTTGTTTATTGCCCTGTCATCTGTCGTTTATGGTCTTCATCAGGAATAAATAAATAAATGTTAGAATTTGTAATTGCTGTCTTGCGGTTTTATGGTACCCTACAAGGTTTTTTTTATCATCGTGCTGGGTGCCTATGTTTATCCGTAAATTGTCGATTTCACAGATTGACAACACAATAGCTCCTTTAGTCTTTAGACAAAAAAATGTCAACTTGTACAAAGATGTGTTCAGCCAGATTATTATATAAATAAGAATTTGTTCTCACTTTGTATTACATTGAATACAAACACGTTTTCATGTACTGTAATACTTCCTTGCGATCATAATTTTTAGGCAAGATGACTAATCCTAAAACATGAGATCGAGTCATATGTCTTTGCCTTTTCAAAAAGCTAGTTCAAGTTTGTGTTATAGTTGGAATATTTTTGTTTGTACTTATTTATGATCTCTGGTATAACAATGGAAACTGAACGCCATGGATAAAATACGTATAAAAATGAGATGATTTTTTTGAAATTGAATCCAAGAATATGTAAACTTTTAGAGACAGTAGATTATTTGACATCTATTGAGAGTATCAAGATTACAAGTCCTGAACAACATTTTATTAAGTCCTGATAATGTATTCTCTATTTCATAAAATATTGTGGTAACCACAGCAGATTACATTATATTAAAAAGAGAGGTGGGTTAAATATTTTTTCTTACATTAGATTCATACATGTAAGAATCGTTTTAATGGTGTAATATACTAGTACTTGAAACATATTAAAATTTACTAGCCATTTCCGGCGAAGTTGTGGAGGTGTCTATTGCCACACCTAGAAAGTTCCTTTGCGATGTCTTATAATTAATTATTAAGAGACATTGTTTCCGTTGTTACATTCCTATTAGTTCATATGGTTTGGCTACTTTGTTAATCTTGTATACCTTGAAAATATTGCATTTTAGGTTTTTCATATTGATAGCATTTTTACCTCATTATTTTCTTCGCGTTCTTATGATTTATAATTTTATAATATACAATTATTCAAAATAAATGTTGGTAAATAAATCTTTTACTTGTGTATCTGGTTTTAATATATATTTTGAAATCCTTTGTTTTTAAAAATTATCTATTTTTGAATTATTTCAAAACGAAAATGTATTGAACCAGTCTGTCAATATACTTCTTTTCGGAGAGCTACAGTTCTGCAGCTATTATTTTATGTCATGGGTATTTTCTCTCTTTTTCTCCTAAGATCAAAATTGACAAATTATAATTTAAAACTGTTTTTTTTATTCCAACGTATTTGTATCGCCAAACAAAATCAATCAATAAAAGCAAATTTTTTTGGTATTATTTTTCTAAGATTCGAGTTTGATCAGTATCTATATAATATTCAGATTATAGACAAAACTTCATCATCGGTTATGGTAAAAATTAATTATTTTAACAAATTAATTTATTTTAATTGAGTTTAAATTTTTCTTTCAAAATTATTACCCTTAACAGAGGAGACCTCCACGAAGCAAGGACTGGACAATGGTATCAATTTATTTTCATTAATATCAAATATTAAATTTTCCCCATCTAAATAAAATTAACCTCTTATTTTACTGGTCATAAATTGATAAAATTAATTTATTTTACAAGACAAAAGTTAATAACACAAGAATGGATATGTAAATAATTATATAAGACCAGATTACTAGGAGAGAGTGAAATGACTTACGTGAAATGGTAGGAGAGAGAAATAACCTGGGAGAGAAAATTTGTTAGAGAGAAATGACCTGACTTTGATTTTTCCAGTGGAAGCGAGGTGTGCACTTGAAATGCCCACCATACAAAAATAATTTTATTTTCAAAGTGTTTTTATGAAAACATTGAACAATTTCAAAATAAGTGTATGTAAAATATCTGCCTTTTGAAAGAAATTAAAGCACTTCAAATTAAAATTATTTCAAAACATGATTAGGTAGACTCATTGTGATGTATGTTTTTTTTTAAAGGTGATTAATAGTCTCAAGCCACATCAAAATTTGCTCTGGACATTACAAGGCTTTGCTTATACAACCTTGAACATTAATTAACCCAATTAGGGGTACTACTTATTGGTAATTGTAAACCAATAAGTAATGATACTTATTATGAGAAAGTCGTTTTCTGCTCGAAAATAATTTACTCCAGCACTTACAAATAAACATAACGATCTTTTTAATGCACTTTGAAAAAATAATATTATTTTCAAAGCGTTTATAATTTTTTACTTTGAAAATTCCTGTGTATATTTGCATGGTTGGATATTTTTATATGATATTTAAATCTGAGATTGAAGAAGTTTCACATTAAAATAATTATAAAAACTTTCCTCATTGAAAATAATTTTCCAACACAAAATAACGATCTTTTTAAAGTTATTTGATTAGTTGTAGAAGTATTTTTTTTCGTTATTCCTTTGCATGATGATCTTTATTATCTTTTAATAAACATAAAGGCATATCAACAATGTAAATACAGTAAGATAAGCATCCGAAGACGGTTTAAGAATGCTGTATACTAAGATTACTCACCTATGCAATTTGGGCATTTGCACGGCTTCCACTAAATTGATACAATATTTTCCCTTAAAAAAATAGAACATGGGAGGTGCACAAATAAGAGGACAATTCGCATAAGCTGCACATACTAGTATCACTATTTGATGTTTGACAATAATCATCGACAACAGAAAACTTTCACAGCTGTAATACCAAGTATCTTTTGTTGAAACTATACAGGTATAACATAATTATTCATTTTTCTAATAATATATTTCCATGTATTGAAATAAAACCCATATTTTCGATATAAATGTATAATTTATAGGGTACCATGGCAGCATAGATACATGTAACATATATTAAGCATACAGAACTCTTAAACAGATATTCATTTACATGTATGTTCTCTGCCTATGACGCATATGTCAGACTGCATCAACGAAAGGTATTGTGAATAACATTTGTTAGAAACGTATTTTGGGATATTTGGCTTACATATGTATACTTGTAAATTTATATGTACAGTGAAAACTGTCTAATCCGACACCTGTGAAATCCGTCACAGTTTGAATTCTGATCTTAAATTTCTTTGAATTGCTATTTAATTTTTTTATGCGTATAACACTGTGCATTCCGAAACCCTATTTATTCCGACACAAAATATGTCTCCCAGTGCATGTCGGATTAGACAGGTCTCACTGATAAAGTTAGACTGTATAAAACAGTAAAGAAATGCTGAAACAAAATATCACAATAATTTTGGCAGAAGAAAAATTAATTCGTAAATATTTGTAAAGCTTTGATTTAAAAAAAAAACTCGTCATAACCATGTCTATCTTTTTTTTAATACCTCAGCAGAGAATAAAAAAAAATCAGAATCTAAATATAGATATGTTCTAGTCCGTAACTTTTTTTTGTGCGAGCCCTTGTGTCATTCGAGGTCTTTTAATAATAAAGATTGATTTCACAAAAACTTTAACTATCAATATATTTTCTTGTTGTTGTCCAAATATGCTTAACAGGGGTTTAATCCATGAGTTTAATTTAATATTTTTTGTATATGAATTTATCGAGAAATTGAAAGTAGTATATATATTGCAAAATAAAAAAGGACGAGTCTTTCGTTAAATATGGCTTTTCCTTTTCCAGGACTGGCAGGGTTTCTTATTCTTTCTTTTGCCACTCGATAATCTATGTCTTCATAGTGTAGGGATTAATCGTAACAAATTGTCTTCAAGTATTGTTGTACAAGTACATATTTTAACGCTAATCAAATCGTTAAGGGTTTTATTTGCAGTATCACTTTAGTATGTAAAAGGATATAAGCTATATCATGTGAGCATAAATCACTCACGGATATTATAAATCTATGATTTACGCCAGCCACAAATAATAAGCGTACAAGTTATTGATCGTCTGTCGAGGTTACTCTCTTCATGTATTTTTATGTGATAATTAAATATTCTCAAATCGAAAGTTGGTCAAAATTTTTAATTATCAAATTATATGAAAAGAATCCTCTCATAAAAAACAACTTTTTTTCGTTTTATTTTTCTGACTAAAGTGTTTATTGTCGAATTTTAAATACCAATTTTTTTTTTAAAGAGTGAGACAAGACAAACGGAAAGTAGACTTATTTCATAGGAAATTACCTGAAAATCCACAAGTAAGTATGCGAATATTTAAATATTGACTGCATAGAATAATTACACTATTTTCATTCTGGACACATATGTGATCGGACAAAATGGCTTTCGCAATTGGCAATGTTCGTTTGCAAGTGAAGGAGACGGGGCGCACAGTTACGATACCAAATGATCCTAGAGCAAAGCTTATGTATTACCTAGATTGTGTGTGCAGTGCTTTGGCTCTGGACAGCTCGGACACTCAGAATATCGAACGACTGCGGGACTATCAGAACTATCGATATTTGAATGAAGAACAAAAAAGTGAGCTCCTGATACTGTGTGCAATGATATCTCCAGACGTGCTTCTGAACAAGGTTTTCTTCCAAAATGATGAGATGTGTGGCGACAAAAGCAACAACTTCTATGAAATTGGAACCATCTCCAACAGAATGTTAGTCTCGAGGTCGATCGTCATTGGTGGTCAAACGAGAAATATCCGAAAAATCATGACTTTTAAAATGGATTGGTTAAGGAATTATTATATCACACCCATGCAAGCGATTGCACGGGAAATGGAAGAAGCGGAGGAGAGACGCAGGCGTGCAATTGCTGCACGAAGACGAAATGATGACAGTTGCATTATTTTGTGATGTAATACTAACGCAAGGAGCGTGATCACTACATTTTGTGTATATTACTGCAAAAGAATTTCTGGATCTGATTTATTAGTTTTCAATCCAATAACGTTTAATGTTTTGCTGTATAGCTTAATTTCTTTCAAGGTGTGTTTTTTGAATAACTCATTTTATTTATTTTATTTTATTGTTACAGTTATTTTATTACAGTTGTATTGAATGAATGTCTATTCATTTCCTAGTCAAAGACAAAAGCTAAATGCAAATAATACATGTATGATGTTCTTTTCAATTAAAGTATACATTAAAGTATTAATTCAGGATTTTTTATTTAATAGAAAAGTAATCTTTAGAATAAAAATAACCAGAAAAGGATGCTATACTAGTAATCAGTATACATACATGTATATTGTCTAAAAACTCTTAAAATAAAGGACAACAAAGCCAACAAAGAAATGCATGTTTGGTCGAAAGCATTCAGTGAATGATAAACTTGGGTTTTTTTTGTTCACACAAGGAAAAATACTTCCTGGTATACTTATTTTCTTTGATATATGCTTTAAAGAAGACAATCTATGTTATATGTAAATAGAGACCGTTTAAACCAAGGTCCCGGGCACGTCGCAGCAGAAGTATTGACTCTGTAAAAAGATCACTTAATGCACATATGCTCCCACAAGAGAAACATATTCTGCTACAGAATGGTATGAATAGGGGACGTAAAGTAGTGGTATACTTTGAATTGCACAAGTCATAAGTTGAGTCATATTCAGTATTCTTCATCTTCTGTTTTAATGGCTCTGAATGCTGTTTGAGATTGAAGAAATCGAACATTAATTAAAAAAATTTGCATGAATTAAAAAAAAATTCAACTTTGTATTTTCCAATATTTTCTCGGTTTGGAGAAAACTTGTAATATTTACCGCAACGGCAAACGAGGGGATTACCTTTGTAAATTCCCCACTACTGTTTTTCTCCGAAAATCCTTTTTTTGCAATTTAGATGCTAATAATCAAGTTCGAATTAAATATAACTAAATGACCTCAGTTTGATGAGTATATACTATCGGCATGCGAAGGTAGCGAAAAACAAAAGCATTTGATAAAGCATATGTAAATATGATATGGGGTTATTTTTTACTTGAGTGAAATTTGCATCCATGAATGAAATATGGTGCATTCATTATTACGATAATTTTGAATATTTTTATATATAGATATGTTCTGGGTTGAAATTAGGTTGCTTTAGGTATCATCCCATAATCCAACAAGATGTGTTGATGGAACACTGATGTTATATGTAAATAGCGAGACCATTTATTGCAGCTTATCCTGAAGGTTAAAATTTCTCAACGGCAAGTAAAACTCCAAGTCAAGGTAAAAAGGTCAAAATTGTTGGTAATCAAAGGAAGGTCTTGTTACAAAAAATACACCTGTGCAATATGAATACCATAGCACTAATTGTTTAAACGTCATTGTTATGGTTAAAGTTCGGAAATTGTTTTTGTAAAAATGAGTCAAAATCCGAGGTCAAGGTCACGAGGTCAAATGGTGATACCAAAGAAAGGTCTTGTCAAAAGGAATACACGTATGAAATATGAAAGCCATATCACCACCCTTTCAAAAGTTATGGACAAGGATAAAGTTTTTGCGGACAAACAGACAGACGGACGGACGAACAGGGCAAGACTATTTACCCCCCGAATCCTCGATTACGGATGTATAGAAAAATCTTTGGTGTCTGAAATACTTAGAAATAAGTCACAGGTATTTGTGAATTGTAGTTTTCTTTATCTACCAACTGATGTGATTTTTAAGTAAACATAAAAATATAAAATCATAGACGAGTGGGGATTTTCAGATACCCTACTTAGATTATAAAAATGCTATCGTTTTTCCTGTTAAGGACGTTAATAGGCAACTATATAAGATAAAAGTGACCCTACTGATTGCCAGTGTGTTGTTGCTTTTTAATCATAAGGTACAAATTGTTAGGATAAAAATTGATGAGAATGGCGTTTGCTATGGAGAACACAAAAATTCATCTCAAAGCCACCGGCACAAGTGTCACAATTCCTGACACACCCAAAGGAAGACTTATGTATTATCTTGATTGCATATGCACATTACTACAACTGGACAACTCTGATTCCGCTAATATACGAATGCTTAGAGACTACGATCGCCATTGGTCATTGTCCGAAGAACAAACTCTGGAACTCCTCGTGTTTTGCTCCCTGCTTTCACCAGATGTTTTAATCAACAAAATCATCTTTCAGAACGATGGAATGTGTGGGAATTCAGGCAATGAGTTTTTCGATTTAGGGGTTGTGTCGAATAAAATGCTTGTTTCGCGATCCATAATGATTGGCGGACAATCTCGTACTGTGAAGAAAATCATGACCTTTAAGATGAGTTGGTTGAGAAATAACTATATAGAACCTATGCAGGCCTTGTCAAGTCAGTTACAAGCTCGTCAAGCTCAGCGGAGGAGGAGAGTTCGAGATGATTCATGTGTTGTTTCTTAGATGCATCAGTTAATCAACTCAATCTATCTTAAATGAATCACTTCTGAATATTGGTAATTATCAATGACTTTTCTATGTCATACAGTATCTATTTCACTGAAAAGGAAACCAGTCATTATTATTTATTTAATCATCTTTATTTTGTTCCTTTCTTGAGGTGCAAAATGATTTTGTAAAAAAAAAAAAAATAGACAAGTTTTTATTACTTTACTTTTATTACCTTTGTTGAAGAGGGAACAGAAAATGTAATACAAGTTAACAAACTACATATAAAGATGAGAATTGTTTGAAACCTGTTGTATGTGTGTCCCAGTGAGACACGGGTTGTTTAAACTGTGCTAAATCATGGATGCTTTGGGTTTGAACTTCTTGAACATTTAATTCAAATGAAATTGTTGATGATTTTAACTGGAACAATACATGTAGTATTGTTAAAGAATACCTATTTATAGACACGTAAATTGTGATTGTGTCATTTTCAATTAAAGTCTCCCAAGATAGTTTAAGTTAGCTTTGACTAAACAACCCAATTTTAATTTGTAACAATGAAGGGAGGTTTACTAATGATATCTTAAAGATTTAATCATTTTTTTTTTAAATTTAAAAATAATTTAATCTACAAACTTTACAAATAATGAAAAAAAAATCTATAAGTAGCTATCAAGTGGATAGTCGAGATGTTTCACCAAAAGTCAGGTACATGTACTTTGAAAGTAAGCAACGTTATAGTATTTGCTTGTTGGTGTGACTGTAACTTTGATATACATCATAATTTAAATACACAAAATAGTATATTATATCCGAGATGATAAATTTGCCAAATGGTATCAGGCTAGAAGGTTAACAGTTATGGTTTAAGAGCAATTTCTTCAGGATTTTGAACTACATTTAAACTCGAAAATTAAAAGATAACTTCATACCAAAGACTTATTACTTTGATGGCCTAAAACCACAATTTTCGTCTGTGAGCGAAACACTTATGATAATAAAATTGTATTTAAAGAATAATTGTCTGGGGTTTTTTTTGGGCTTTATGATGTGATCGAGCAATTGACTTGTGTGATAATTAGCATGATTTTTTCATTTATTTTACTGCGGTGAGGGATTTTTACTGACTGAGCAATTTTGATATTGAATACTGCTCGTTATCTCCATAACCTCCATTCCTTATCTTGGATTTTCTTGCAACTTGTGCGAAGTAACCAGAGATTCCAATTGTAAAGATTAGATTTCTTTAAGCGTCTTTATTGTATGTGTCAGGCTAGTTTCTAGAAATTGTGAATTTTATTTTGTTGAATTGTTTTAGATTGGTTTTCATCACTTTACCAGTGATTAGTTTGCATTTTAGTAAGTTATTGTTAACATGATTTGATTTATAGTTAAAGCTATTATACATGTAACTTCCCCGTTATTCAAGGTAAAAAAAAGAATTACAAATGATAAAGGGTAAAATAATCAAATGAAGGAAGAATTTTTTGTCATTATATAAATATGTAAAATATCAAACAATAGACTATAATGAAGTTCATATACCCCACTTAGAAGTTAAATAGGCCGTGTTTTGTAAAATGTAATGAAATTTCCCGTTGATTAAGGACGTTAGAAGGCAAACATATAAAATTATTGCCAGAGTGTCTTTTTTAATTTAGAGAGGATACATCTCGTATAACAATCAGTAACTACTATTGTGAATACCGGTTGCAATGAGAAATACCAAAAACAAAATATCTGAAAACGACCAGCACTGTTACAACGCACTTTGAAAAATTACGCACTTTGAAATTTTTTTTCAAAGTGCGTTAAATTTGGGACCAAGCTAACGCACTTTGAAAAAAATAAATTTCTTTTCAAAGTGCGTTAATATCGACCATATTAACGCACTTTGAAAAAAAATGTAAAGCTTGATCAATATTTTTACAAATTATCGGTATAATAAATAATTGACCCTTGTTGGATAACTTTTTGGTGATAAGATCACTAAAAAGGACCTGAGATATTGACGTTTTAAATATTTTAGATTTTGATAAATATTGTAAAAGGGAAATAGAGAAAGATGATTGTTTAATATCATTATTTCGTTTCTTTTTAAAATTTCTAGTGTGTAATTAGTAGATGTGTGTGTGTGTGTGTGGGGGGGGGGCTAAATGTGAACGACTTAAGGAAAAGCATTTATCTTAAGAAAAAAGGGGCAATTTGATTTTCCAAGACTATGAAAATTCTTTCTCTCTCATACGTTTTATTGTACTTATAAAATTCTAGTTTTCAACTGTTTTAAATTAATTCAATTATTGATAGTTTTCAACGTCATACCGATAATGTAAATACATATCCATTGTTTGGGTATAGCATACATGTAGGCCTCATAACCTGGCGAAGGGCAAGGGTAGGGGGCTTAGCCCTCCCCCTTCCCACTTATTTTGGAAAGATAGGCATGGAAAATGCGGCTTACCCTTTTGTGGGTTTATTACTCCCCTCCCCCGTTTTATTTGTTACCGACACCTTTGTATTGAAAGAGTTAATCTGAGAGATCTTCTACCCTTCTTCTCCCCTTCTAGACGGGGAGTAAATCAGTTCATAAGTTTACTGAAAGATAAATAACACTGAAATAGAATATTTCCAATACTAAAATCAGAGTTTTTACATATTCTTTTTTCAAAGTGCGTTAAGTGTATCCATGGTAAAATATATTGATGTAAACTTTTAACGCACTTTGAAAAAAATTTTCAAAGTGCATTGAGTA